GTTTTCTTGAAAAGACCGTTAGATCTTGTAGTCATGTAGTTTTGAACTTATTCAAGCAGTTTTGCTGAGTTTACCAAATAAAAGGATATAAAGGAAATGAAACACCATGTTGAACTTGTTTTGAAAGTTTTGCAGTTCATCATGAACTCTTGTGACCATAAAAACACAGGAGGGCAGATGTTTCCTCTGGAAGTGTTTTTACATACGCAGATTTTCCCCATGGCAACTTGGAAAAAAAGCATGCTGTCAGGCTTGTTCATCGGAAGTTCTTGTTGTGCACATGACTGTGGGGATTATGCCATAAAGGAAAGGCCTACTCTAAGCGCAGCCTCACAGGAAAGCAATGCATTCCTTCCAGTAAGAAAAGGGATTTAACTTCTGATTTTCAGAATGTCCAAGATTTCCAAATCACATTTTTTGATGAGTCAAGCTACTTTGATGATTTATTAATTTGTTACATCATAGCTATTTATAAACATCATGGAAGAATATTGTTTTGCTGAGAAAAAAATGGTTACATGTCTTACTTTTTATCCATTCATCCAGTAATTTGAATTTGAATTTGATTTTAGCTCAGTATAATAGAGATCCTATCAGGCTTGCGGGTGGCTGCTGGAGCCTATCTCAGCTATCATGGGATGAGAAGCGGGGTACACCCTGAACATGCTGCCGGTCTATCACATGGGCTAAAAGTGTACAATTTGAAAGGTCTTTAAAGAACAGCTAAACAGCCAGGCCTCACACACTGAAGTGATTCCAACAATAACAAACACAAGGGAGGGCATTAGACCAGCCTTAATTATGTTTAGCATAAGATATATATTTTAAGCGGTTTACAAGCATTACTTATTTTAATCAGCAGGGGAGAAACACTTTCTACTGGGGCTTACACAGGACTGAGACAAGTTTAATGTAAGAAGACAAGTTGGATGTTAAAGGAGGTTTGGGTGTGCTTTTTATCAATTATGATGTTCTTTCAGTGAATAAGCATGACATGATAAGAAAAACCAGGCTTAGTGCCCTCTTTTTTTTTCCTTACTCCATTCACTGGAAATTTCTTCCTGTGAGGGAAGCAGGGGGAGGAAGCACATTTACTCACTCATCCTATGTACTACTTCTGCAGCGGAGTTTCCCCTGAAATCCAAAGACATTCAGAAGAGGGCAAGAGTTAATCTGGCGTTGAAGAATCTTATAAACAGGAAATTCGTAATTACCAGTTCCAGTTCTCTCATTACTTGTGTTTATTGTTTTCACAGTGAAAGAACATGTCAGGTAGACTTTGATATACATACAGTTATATTTCACATACAAGCTCTTGAACAATCAGGACCCATCATTATACCACATCACTCCATTAGTGCTTTTCACTTTCAGACTGCTCAAAGCTTACTTCAGCTTTCAGGGCCTTCTTCTGTGGAATCAGCTCCTAAAAGACAAGCACCCTCTTTAATTTCAGTTTATAGTTAGGTCTAGATCAGGTAAGCCTGAACTGCCCATTAGTAGGCCTAGGATCCTGGAAGGCTTCCCATGATGCTGTCATGGTCCCTGTGCCTCCCCGGCCAGCCCAGTGTGGCCACAAGTGTTTGTTGTTTTGCGCTCTCTGCTCTCCTCGCCATGCTCTCTCTCTTGCCTGTCTGCCCTGGCGGAGCTCAGATTGGGCTCCTGCCCTTGGCCTACGCACCTGCAGTTGATCTCTGGCTCTTCTTAAGGCAGGTGCTCTAAGCTACTCGCCGCTGGAACATTGAGTTACTCTTGTTAGTATTGCTCGGCACTATAGCGATTCTGTTGTTCCCGTACTTGCCTTCGACTAATCCACGTCTCTGTAAATAGGTTTATCTGGATCTGCCCTCTTTGTGACACCTGGACCCCGTGAGTGAAAGTGAGCTGCTTGTGTGGAGATTGTTTGGACGAGGAGAGGAGCGAGTACGAAGACGTGTGTTTCCCCAACCTGTTGACCCTCGGGACCCTGGTGTTTCCACCCCTTCACATGTATATAGCGTACCAGTGTCATTAATAAAGAACTGTTTGAACCGTGCTTTCTCAGTCCGTGCCGAGTCCGTTACACTGCCGTGACAGATGCACTGAGTGTTTCTTCCACACTCACCTTTTTTCACTCTCAACTTAAAATATTTTTAGTAGTTTAATTATTTGAATTGTTTAGTTATTATTACTCTCTGACTGTCTTTTGTCCTGTCTCCCTTCCCTCTGCTCCAAACATTTGCTGTAGATGGCTCCCCCTCCCTGAGTCTGCTTCTGTCAGAGAATTCCTCCTGTTAAAATTGAGGTTTTCCACCCCCCTGCTGCCAAAGTGTTTGCTAATAAGGGGTCGCCTAATTGTTTTGGTTTTCTCTGTAGTGTCTTCACCTTACAATATAAAGCACCTTGCGTTATTATGATTTAGCGCTATATAAATAAAAATGAATTGAACTGAATATAGACAAATAGACAAGGTGAGATTTTTCCACAGGATAAATAGAATCAGAAAAAAATCAGTATACATGTTTCTATTTTTTTTTCCAAAAAGGTTCTGTAATTTATTTACATTTTAAAAATAAACATAAGCTCCAGTGTGCACTGTATTATTACAACTTAGCTTTTTTCACTAATACCCACAATATAACAATAAACAATCACACATACTATACACAAACATACATGGATGTGGCAACCGTTGGTCTGTCACTAGCTGTTTGTTTGAATCGTAGATAATATATGAAAGATGGGGGTAGCTAACAGGTCAGAAACATGACGCCTAACATGTCTTAGATGGTGTCAAACCTGAGGCTTCAAAACCACACAAGCCAGTGGGTGGTGTCACAGAGACCACTTATCTTTTACACTTTACTTTAGACTTTCTGAGGGTTTCAGGGCTTCAGTGGAAATTTCATATCGGATGTGAACAACAAAACACTTCAGCCTTGTCTATTTCCCATCAGCAGGTAGAAGCATGGCTCTAAGTTGGCACGCTCCTCTTCCAGATTTCTGGAAATGATGGGAGCTGCAAATCTGAGGCAGTGTGCTGGCAGAGCCAATAACCTGCATGCTTCACATTTCTCCTCTGATTCTCTACAGTAGAGATCAGGAGTGCAAAGCTAGCCTGACACAATTACAGCCACTACACTCGTTGAAAGAAGCAACAGAAATTCTCCTTTACTTTAGTAGTACATGTCTAAATAAACATACAAAGTAATTTAAATTACTTTTATTAAAACAAAACAAAACAGTTAAACAGCATGTTCATCCACACAGCAGTGATAGTGGATGTTCAGCCCTCTGCTTGCATACGGATTTGATGATATTAATTTACCTTCACATTTTCCAAAGCAAATTGAACAAAACAAAGTGTGCAGAATCTTTAAGTTAGTGTCCTGTTAATCTTGAGTTTGTACTTTTACAGTCACCAAATACTGAAAACCTAACAACTTAAAATAAAATAATATCAAATATTTCTCATAGAACTCGATTTTCTCAGCAGTCAACAGTCAAAATCGAGAATGAACTAGAAGCAAGATGTAAAACAAAGTAGTGGCAGAAATACAGACAGAGGCCAGTAAGCTGCTGCCATGACAACAATACTAAATTCCAGGCTGTGTAACAGTTCAAGGAAAAAGCTGGTGAGATCCTGTGTTTTCAGTCTGTATCGACACAGGGACTTTGAATTCCACACTCACCCCAATGAAATATCGAGATCACTCCTTAAAAGCTACAACCCAAGACCTGGATTTAAGGCAGCATATTTACAGGAAGTGACTGCAGAACTGCTGCTGACTGTGTTACAGTACTTTGAAAGCAGAAGCTTGTTAAAAGAGGAAGGAGCTTTTTTTCCATTCAGTATTTAGGTCACCGGTCACGTCACTTAAAGTCTTCATTTCATGCTGTCATTTTTGTTGTTTGGTGTCATCAGATGTCATCAGTAGAGGAAGGTAACCACTACCTCAATCAAACCGGGATGATGTCAAACTTGGCAAATTGACTTGAAGAATTAGACAGCACCTAATGTTGAAGAAACAGCTCCAGACTTTTTGTCCACAGTTCAGACCTTCTCGCAGTTTTGCAGAGGCAAGGCAGTGTGCTTAGGAAACCGTAAAACATCCTTTAGGTTGTAGCTTCCCTTTCGGTTTTGTTTATAGAAACGATAACATAGCACACAAAGTATCAAGACAAACGGAAGAGCTGCAGATACCCCAACTATTATCCATATCCAGGGGGAAGCTGCAGAGTTGGGAAAAGAGGGTTTGGTAAAGAAAACAGAAAAAGAGAATATTCAAATTAGTCAAACAGAAAATATCCAAACACTGCTTGAATTGAAACTGGATGTGAAAAACAAACTAAAATCTCACCTTTGACATCAACGTTAAACTCCTTGGTGACAGTCCCTACTGTATTGCTCACAGTGCAGATATACTGTCCTTTATGCTCAAAGCCGACAGGATTGATATTGAGAACGCTGCCAGTGTAGGAAGATGAGCTATTTGTTGGGTGTGTCCAGGTGTATGAGGGGCTGGGGTTTCCCACAGAGGAGCAGTTCAGGTGTAGAGTGTCTCCTTTTGTGATTGTGATCACATCTGGATTTCGTGGCCCTATTAGCTCAGGCCTATCTGTGTGATTATTGAAAAAAAAAAAAGAACAAAAGATTTAGCAAAACAAACAATTTTGAAAGAGAAATTCAATATAGGGAAACATGGGCCTGTTTTCACAGTCGCGCAATTTTGTTAATCTCTGTAACTTTTCATCTGTGATAATTGACAGAGAAAATGTTTAACACGTTGGAAATGTAAAACTGATTATTCACTAACATAATATACAGCAGAAAGTGGAAAGCACTGTCCACAGTTCAGCCCATTTCGCTTAATTTCTACTCTTTAAGATTTCAAAGGATCATATTTTACCAGTTTGTCCACTTCATGATGTTTAACTGCTCTACTTACTTTGCAGGTTAATGCTCGCCACACTAAACATCTGACATAAAGTTTATATTGCATGCAGTGTGACATTAATGGGTCAGTCTGACAGATCAGAGAGTTATTCTAGCCATGTGACACTCTGAAAGGAGTGGATGATTTTTTCTGGAGTGGCTTTAACATAATAAAAAGAACAGACTTTTCTTTCTTGAAGATTTGTTGCAGTCAATAGCTTCCAGATTTAAATTGATATATACTAAAAAAAAAATTCATTTAGAGTTTAAACACAATTATTATTATTTTTTAAGGTTCACAAACAAAGTGGAGTTCTATTTTTGGTCTCTACAAACACACTGAGTATTTTAGTTTTTAGCAGCTAAATCCTCCACTATGTTCATCAGCTTGTGTCAGTCAACAGTTTGTTGATGATGCTTTTTAGAGCCTGTTCATTAACAGTGATGAGAGCTGTGAGGAAGAATCAAAACAGTAAAGTAATGGGAGATAAAACTAAACAAGTGACATGAAACATGCTCAAAATGTTAAACTCTGAGGAACAGAACAAAGAACGTCTTTATTTCTCTCAGACTCACAGTGAACTATAGCAGGGAGCTTTTCTGATGTCACCACTGGAGGGCTCTGTGGTCCAGCTGGTCCCAGCTCCAGCTTGGCTTCACACCAGTACTGGGATCCATCATCTTCTCTACTGGGGGTGATGTTCAGAGTGAAGGTCTCATTCACTGGTTTCTTTTGTTCACTCCTGGACTGT